TTTTGTGGACTACTCGTTAAAGTCTGGTTAAGCGATGAAGTGCATAAATAGCTTCTGGAGTCAGTTTAGTTCCCGAACGTTAAATTTCCCTTTTAAAAGGAAACTGGCTTTAAAATATAAGATTTTTATAACAAATATTACTTCTTTTCACATTGTAAGCCTCGACGAAAAGAATGAGATAGTCACATACAAAGCGAAGAGAAAAATTAAATTAATAATAGTGTACTTTCTTAGAAAGGGATAAATTATTTGTATACACATAAGATTTAACAAAAATCTATTACATAAATTAATTTCTACATTTATTCTAATTCAAAAAAATGTCTAACAGTTTTATTCTACGATATTCAATTTGCTAGTATTAAGACTTTATCCGTAACTTAATATTGCACTGGTAGAAAACGTAAGAAACATAAATGTGGAATAAATTTAATATTTTCTCCAGAAGTTTTCAAACAACTATTATAGATGTAATTTATTTTGACTTACTTTGAATTAAATATTTACACAACTCTTCCAAGAAAATATTCTTCTATTTTTGTACTTATTTTTGTAACTAATGTAATCTTAGGAGTTTAGCAACTGTCTTTTTAGTATTGTATATGAATTTTATCTTGTGTTTGATCAACAATCCGTGATCGTTGTCTAATTACAGTCAATTTTGCACCATTTATAACACGTCCTGTACTATTGAAACAAAGAAAGACATTCTTGATTTCCAGCTATGGTCCTTAAAATTAGGAGTTCTTCTGGTCACAACCAAAGTTGAAAATAACAAAACTCCTAATAGCAGAAAATAACGTACGTGTCATAAATCTTCCTTCAAACGCTCTAACAAATATTAACAAAATAAATTTACAGTGGAAGTTATCATCAGCTAAATCCCACTGCAGACAGATTTATTCCCAAATATTTGCTCGTCGACTGCTCGAGTTTCCATCAATATTGCATGATTTCTATATGTAATAGCGTTCGTCGACGGTACTTGGTAAATTCGTAAAATCGCGAAGAAAGTTTTCTACCGCCATAGATCCCCTAACGTTCGTTTCGACGAGTATTAAATGATGAAGTTGGTAACGAAAATTTGACACGAAGTGTGGAAATCGAAGCGATAGAAATCAACACAGGAACATGATTGGAAACAAGCTGAATCGAGTCGAACGGGAAAACCGAAGCATCGCATACTCAGAACTAGCATGGAACCGAGTTATTAACAAAGAGCAATGCTGGCTGCAAATCGAATTAACTACGCCGATCGAAGTCCTATCGGGCTCAATCAAAGTTGAAATTTACTTAATTAAAGACGAATTAACGCGTATCGCGCGACCGGTATACTGACAAACTTTTACCTAATCGCGATCACGAGACTACTAGAGCCGCGTTGGAAAATTGGAATTTCTGATTAAGAAGCTGAATGGGACGAGCTTGCGTGTGTTCCATTTGAATTAACCGTCCCAAAACACTAGGACGATCCCGACTGGTCGTGAACTACCAACCGGGAGACAGGACGAAAGACATTCAGGGGCCACTTATCTCTGGCGGCAGGATTTATGAAACGCTCTGTTCCGCGAATACCGGGATAAGAGCGTGAAAGGACGACACAGCCTAGTCCGTAGACACGTCGGATAATACAAGGATTAGGAAGCACCCTCGATGAAACTTGCTATTCCATGATTAACTATCATCAGAGCAGAAGCTCCGATTCAATTAGTAATCGTGGCTTCTCAATATCGGCAGGGTGTCCATCGACGTTGCAATTCGATTCTTACTGTTGAGTTTTATAAGACATAAATTGGATACAAAACTCAAATGTCGCAGTACAGTAACCCCTCACTAATGTTCGCTGAATCGGTTCCGTGATGACAACGTTATCGAGGGAGGTACTATTCTGGGAATTGTTAACTGTCGAACTCGAATTGTACTCGAATTTTTTTCTCGAAAATGGATAGGTTTTCGGGGGTATGTCTATTCACTAAAAATTTCTAATTCTAATTGGCCTCCGCAGCTAAAAATAATTTTTCAGAATGATTTGAAATTTTTTAATTTAATTTTTTAATAACTTTTTAACGAAGCCTTAATCAAGAAATTGGTATTCTTAATTTTCATCTTATTTTAGCCTCTAGAATCTCGCATTAAAATTTTTCCCAAAGGTGGCCGAACATCCTGTATAATAAACTTATGAACTAAATTAATATTCAATTTTACGAGATTCTATTAATTATTTATATCTTAATAAGTGTTAAGTATCTGCACTTAGTATTTTACATACACTAGAAGGGATCACTCTACGATCATTCTGCAAAAGCACATTAAAATCAAAGATGAACAGTTCGGGTCCCCTTCCCTTTTTAGGCTTTCTGCTCGACCTCCTTACAGTTTCTTTGCTCATTCACGACATAGTTTGTACAAAATATAAGAATTGATTGGACATGTTTTAATTTCTAAAGAGATAACTGGTGACCCTAGAATGCTTTGAATCTCTCCCGGATCATTTGAAGACAGTCAAAATATTCAAGACATTCAGGATATTAATGACATTTAAAATATCTAAAACAGTAAAAGTATTTAAAACGTTCAAGGCCATCAAACTCAGCAATTTTGTTAAACAAATAAATATAATAGTCGTATAATCGATTTAAATAATCAATTCGTATTTAAATATATTTATTCATGACGTTTTCGATTCTCAGTTTTTGCTCATCTTCGATGATACAAAGATTGTCAAATTATTCCAATCAAAAATAAGTGGTTGATACGTAATAGCATAAATTACAAAACTAACTTGCGTACATTGAGAACATGTTTCCTTGTTTGTAAATTCGTTAAACATTTCAAGACATCTCGAGACATCGAGATATCTTGAAACGGTTTGAATCCCATCGTTAACTGTACTATGTAAATGGTGCTTCCTTCTTATTGAATTGCTCTATTCTGATAATTGCACGAATCTTGGTATTTGAAAAAATCGCGAACCACGTTTTATCCTGCAACTATTAAGGTTCCGTTGTATCTTTAGGTATGACATCGTTACGTAACAAACCACACCCATGCAAATGTGTCTATCTCTGAGTGCACGTTTGCGATTATCTCGGGTCTATCTTTACCCTGTATCTTATCCTCGTTTTCTTAGATAACGGAACGCGTTTCGTGCAAATAAATTTAATCCAAAGAACAAGGAATTGCAATAAATTACGAACTAATAGAAAAATGATGCCGAGTGCAACGTGAGCAATCGATTTCAAACGCGGAACAACTCGATTGTTGGGAATTCCAACATTTTATTAGCGGAGACATTATTTAGTTCAAATTACTTGATTTAGTAATCTGGTAATGTATTGTATTGACATACCCTAAAGCCATTAAGCCCTACTTAGTTTCAAACCGTACTTTGGGCCTACTTACCTGCCCCTTGAGACCGCGGACGCCCATTCCCATATAACCCTCAGTGTGTGGGATTTCGAATGTCGGGATGACTGGCCCACGAGGGATGGGCAAAGATTTGATTGGTTAAATAGAAACTCCACCTATTTTGAAATAAGTATATAATCACGGGGCACAACATTGAACAGTTAGTTAGAATACGCACAGTCAAACAAGGACACCTCAAGTTACACAAGAACATTTAACAGTTACAAGTTACACCAGAACCTTTACAAGAATACAGAACAGAACCAAGTTACTAACAGAACATTTACAAGTTAGAACAGAACAGCTACAGTTACACAAAAACATTGAAACGTTAATGGTTAACACCTGTATATATAGTTATTAATAAATCCAAAATGGTTGTAATTAGGTATTGGACTTATCTATTACTAAATAACTCGGTTCCACGAATCTTGTGGAAGCCTACAACGATCGTCGATCAGTTGGCAAAATCAGTGTTAAATCGCAATAACGATATCGATGAGAAGGATTACTCTGTTAAGGCCAGCTGTTCGGATAATCTCATGGCGTGCCCAACGATATGAAGCCATAAACGTGATAAAGAGTCTACTGCGTGCAGGCCCAGCAGTTGGCTGTGCCACGAACCATGGAGCATAATCATAGGCATCTATCCGGTTTCTTGAGTGCCGCGAAGTCGAGCTGGGTATCCTTGTATTTCGATATCACCTACCCTCGGGGCCTGGAATCATTCAGCCTGCAATTTGCGAGACATTCGTCGTTATCTCGTTGAAAGTTTCGCACAGCAACGATTGCGCCCCCCGTTTGGGTTGTCGTCTCGGCGCACCGATGCTGTAAATCTTGCTTTGCTTTCTTCTTTGCACGGTGATGGTTTATGCCCGGGGTAAATTGTTTAAGATGCATATTCTTGCTTCCGGCTTGAAACACGAGAATAATCTTCATTCGATTTTGTTGTTTAGTCGATCGAATGACCAGTATATTTTTGTTTCCTATGAAATGAAAATATAAATAATTCGTTTTGCAAATTCTTTTTGAAACTAAAAAAATAGTATCATGATAAATAACCACTAGAAAATTTTACAATCGCTTGTAACATTTCTTGTATTTCTTAACACTGAATCTACCGACACTTTATGTATACTCATTTCTACCATGATCGGTCAAATGACTTTCTCTCTTTCTTCTTTTCTTTTACGAGGCAACGTATTTCTAATTTTTGTATTATATGTATAGAAAGTTGTGTGTTTGAAGCTTATTCATAAGATATCTTTCTCTTTTATGTCGCATAGTTTTTCTTAACGCATGTATTTTAAAAATCTGTACAAAAATGTTCAATAATTTTACTCTAAATGGGCATACTTTATTTTCATATACCAAATTTACAAATTATATCGATTTTTTTTTTGTTCAAGAGGTGTGCATGTTATAATTTGCTGTGGCCGGTTCTGATTCGCGTTAGTGCTACTTGCTGCTTTCTATTGAATTTGGGGTTTGATGTAATGTCATAGAAGTTGTGAATTGATTTATAGAGTAAGCTTGCTATGTGGTTTTGTTATATCCGGTTCCAGGATTCTTCCCACAAGAATATGATGTGCCTATTGATATCTGCGAACGTGTTGAGTATCGGTTGGTTGTTGTTGGGTTGATGCAATTTTCGTTTCCAGGTCGGCCATTTCATTTCCAAATATGTCCTTGTGAGATGGAATCCATGCTATTGTTATTGTTTTGTTGGATTTGACCAGTTGATAGTAGGTTTCATGGATTTCGGTATAAATTTCGGTGGTTTGTTTCGTGTTTTGTATTTTCACAATGGAGGAAAGGGAGTCGGAGAAAATGATAAATTTAGGTTCAGGAGAACTGTCTATAAGATTCAGAGCCGAGAGAAGTGCGTATGCTTCAGCTGTGTGTATACTGTTGATGGGGTTTAAGCCGTATTTAGCTGTTTTATTTTGCATGACTACGGTCGCTCCTGTTCTACCCATTTTGTCCTTCGACCCGTCGGTGTAGACGTGGGTGAAGTTAGTATAAACTTTGCACAAGGTGGAGAATAGTTCTTTCCACTCATTTACGTTTAGCTCGTCCTTTTTGTTCTTTGTGAGTGATAAGAGGTATTTTATGGGGTCTGTTTTTTTCCATGGCCGGTAGCTTGAATTGAAGTTCGTCGAGGTATATTTGAATTCTGTGGTGGAGGGGAGAGTTGTGCAGTTGGTAGTTTGTATTTCGTTTATTCCTAGGGAAGTAGTCTTCGTAGATAATTGGATTGGTGGATATGGCGGCCTTTACGGCATATTTTAGGCTTAACAGTTTTCTTCTATGCCTCAATGACGTTTCGCCGGCTTCAATTAAAATACTTCCAATAGGACATGTATGGAATGCGCCTGTTGTTAGTCTTAACCCGGTATTGTGGAATGTTTCTAATTTTCTAAGAGTGTCTGATTTGACTGGATTGTATGTTACAATGCATAGTCTATTTTGGATCGAACAATTGCTTCATAGGCCTGTGAGAGTACGGTTTTGTCTGCTCTCCAGTTATTATATGCTAGAGTTTTTATTATTTTCACCCTTTCTTTACTGCTGTTGATGAGATTGTGTACATGGTTAAGTTTTGAGTCAAAGTGTACTCCGAGGATTTTAGTACAGATAACAAATTGAAGCTGATTTCTGCTAATTTTTAAGACCCATGTAAAGATTTCCCGGCGTTTAGAGAATACAATGCATTCAGTTTTCGCAGTTGAAAATTTCAATCCATTTGTTTCAAACCAGTTGTGGAGTTTGTTAAGAGCTTGTTGGATGAGCTGTTGCGTGGTGTTAATGGATTTTCCTTTACATAGAATGGTGATGTCGTCAGCAAGTACTCTTGTAATAACAGGAGGTTTGGTAATACAGCAGGCGTCGTTAATAGGTATTAGGAATAACGCGACGTTAAGGACGGACACTTGTGATACACCATTTTCTATTAAGGTTTTTTGTGACAGACTATTGTTGAAACGGACTTGAATATTTCTATTGTTGATGAAGTTTTTGACGAAATGGCACATGTTGCCACCGATTCCCATTTCATGGAGTTTGCTTAAGATGTGCCGTCTCCAAACCATGTCATAGGCTTTTTCCTATGTCGAAATGTGTTCATTTTCATCGGATAGAAGATAAAACACCCTTGAAAACGAATTTTGTTTCAAGCCGACATCATAGTTAGTCCCAGGGAAACTTCTTCGGGTGTATAGAGCCAAAACGAATTTCAAAATTGTTGAATTTCCTAACCGTCTCGTTATGCTACAAAAATCATCTCCAGCAACGATATATGTATACGTCTAGAGTTTCTTTCCTGTTTTGACCATGGGTTCTACGAACTCATGATGTTTATTATACTAACAATAAGACAAGAGTTCATTGCCAGGACGAACTGCTCTTCACTCTTGCCTTTCTTCGGCGGATGAACCGTACAGTTTAGAAAGTGATGTCAGACTGGACGGAACTCTAAAATATGTCTTCGCGTTTCGTATAAAGACTAAATATTCATACAGTTAAATGTTGAAGTTTGATTTAATCCTTCAACCCATAGCCTTACAATTCCAATAAAAATAAACATAGAAAACAGCATAAATAAGAATAGTTGGCGTATTCGTCGAATAGAGGATCAAGAGCCCTTTAAAATGATATTTGTTTCAAGTTGATAGCTTAATTAGTTCCGGAGTTACAATGATTTTTGTTTCATGTCGATGCGGTGGCTAGTTCCGGAGATACACGTATAAGGGTTCGAAGCGTTTGTTTACTTTTCATTGCTGACATCACGAGGTCATTGACTGCACGTGCTCGTAATAAATAGTAAATAGTAAATTCTTGGAAATACTACGTAAGTCGGTTATAACTGTCACGACTGTCGTGCGAGAGAGAGAGAGAGAGAGGTCCGATGTGTTAGACAGAGACAGAGATAGTCGAATTAGAAAAATTACCCCTTCACTTAAATAATAATATCTTCAAAACGAATAGTCAGATCGACATAAAACACAAACCATTTTAAAGGGGAAGCCTTACCGCTTCTAACAGTAGTTCTTTTAATTATGAAGAAAACACAAGTCGTTTCGGAACTGTACGTGTATAAAGTTTAACTACTTTTAATACACGTTATTAGATTGTCCTAAGACAGTGGAAACTGAAGATTCCCTCCTTTCGTATTTGCTATATACATATTTTCTACTTACATCGAAAGCTAACCAGAATTTGATACCAAATTTTGTCCGGTTTTTTTACAAAAAACAGTCTACATATTTTTCACAGAAAACAAAAATCGTCAAATCTGTTCAGTAGTTATGAAATTTTAAAAATTCGCATGAAATTTCAGGAAAGCATTTCTTGGCCTGACATTAAATTTTCGGTAAAGAATTTTTTTCTCGAAAGTACGTAGGATTTCGGGCGTATGTCTATTCACGAAAAATGCTTGTCATTTATCCCTGCAATTAAATATAATTTTTTTAGTATAATTTGAAATTTTTTAATTTAATTTTTTAATAACTTTTTAACGAAGCCTTAGTCAAGAAATTGATATTCTTGATTTTCCTCTTATTTTGGCGTCTAGAATTTCCCATTAAAATTTTTCCCAGGGGTGGCCAAACACCCTGTATGTACTGTTCACCGCTGTCAGCAGTCAGAAAAAATGCAGGTCTAATTGATCGAAACAGAACAAGTCTGCCCATTCGAAGGCGAACATAAATAGAATCGCATCACACGCATTTTCACTATTGGTCACATAAATAGGTGAGGTCTGTAGGTATAAAGAGTTAGGGGTTCCTAGAGCGTCAATAGTGGAGAATAGGTGAACAAGCAGTTTATTCCCATGACCCCTGTGCCATCCAGTCTGTCATCTTACCAGCGGGAAACAGTACATTGCCTAAATCTAATATTTTTTTTTATATTAACAACATTTACAAATGGTTTTCATAGGGAATGCGTTCATTATAAGAATGTCTTTTGAAAATTTTTTTTTGTCACGTCTGTACTTAATTCCTATTTTTCTTTTATTTTTATATTTTTCAGCTGTATTCCTCCGAACGTTAATGTTTCTTCATATTATTATATTTTATTAAATACTCTATATCGATGGTTTCTAATCTTTATTTTCCACAGACCCCTTTTGGTAGTCTATTGGACTTCACGAACCTATTCTAAGCAATGTTCTTCAGAGTAACATTCTTAAATATTAGTTGAATCATAGTTTTTTAACTAGTGTTAAAAATTCTGATTTGCTCGGATATAACCCACAAAACAGGATAAAATTTTGGATAGATCTCCCTACAAGACGAGAATAAGCTTACAAGGAATATCAAAATCATAGACAACAAATTTTTGGTTATAAGATTAACGAATTTATCCTTGGTTAGATCTATTTCTTCGGTAAAATTTATATTAGACAGAAAAGAATTGTGGATCCGTGTTTAATTTTAACGTCATCGAAATCAAAATAATTGTTATAAGAGTTTTGTATTGTTTCCAGGTGTTTGCAAAATTCGTTTCTTGAAATGGATATTGTTAGCCAATTTTGGATTTCAACTTCGCTCTAGTGTAGTACTTTTATCAGCATTTAAAAGCAATAATGTTTGCCGAACTGGAGATTCTGTAAACGTTCCGTGCTTGAATGGATAACATAAATGGACGTAACCGTTCATTATACGTTCGAAGCGTAATGTGCCGAAACTGATCCGCGACATTACATGTATTAAATATTCGTATTTTAGCAAACTTAAAACAATGTTTGTCCGAACCGAGCCGTTCCGTTTACGCCCGTGACGTAAACGATTAATATAAATTAACCTTAACACTGTGCAGTAAAGATATTTATCAAAAAGTAAAAGATGAAATGAAAATTTCATTTTCTTCAAAAAATCATATCTTTTTAAAAATAAAAAATATGCTGCAACGACTCGTTGCAAGAATTATAATTACTTCTTAGAATGAAAGTAGATGAATTTTTACGTTTACGTCATGACCGTTTTGACATGTAAAAATGATATTTTTAATAAGAAAAAGTGCAAGTAATCGCTTGTAGTGTTTAATACAATATCTTTTAAGTAGGAACAAAATTTGTAAAAAATAATTAAAATTAACAAATAAAAATGGCGGTTACGGAAACCTGAAAAAGTTGTAAATACCTTAAAATGTTAGAGGTTTTTACATGAAAATTAGATTTAAAAGAATAGATAAGTACAATATATGAAGGTGTAAAAAATTCTTTATTAATATTTACTAAATAATTCATAGAATACAAAATGTATATATTATTGTCAACACAATTGCAGCTAACTTTAGCAGCATGTTCTTGGCATATTGGCTTGTGGTATCTTTCCATTCTGTTCGACACAAACGAAACTTTTCTATTTATATTAATTTTGTTTAATTAATTTTATTTATTCTTAATTACCTTGTAAATCGTTGTTCTCAAAAGAACGCTGCTACAAACAGTCGGCTTGCCGTTTTTTTTTTCATTTTTTACGACATACACAAACTTTCACATAACAAATAATTAATTAAAATTATTCTTACTTCAAATTTGTATTTTTTGCGACACTGATTTTCTGACGTTGAGACACAACTGGATCTCTCAGACCCACTTTTGTAACGTCCGTCGGAACACACATTTAACGCTCGTGTGCCCCCGGCCTAAGGCTATGTTGTGAAATACCTTCTAGGTCCCTCGAAGGTCCGGACCCCCCTCATCCTTGACTTGTAGGTATATCACGCATTTTCCAAAGGCCTCGGGTCTCACATACCCAGTTGTGTGCTTTTGAGGGTTAAAATGAACATCGCTTCGGGGTTGGTATTGTCATCTTTCGTGCAGCTGAGGTGAAATTCAACACTAGCAGATATTTACAGAGTGTTTTTTGTACAAATCGTCGTCGATACTCCAGCTTGTATCGTTTTTTAAATGTCATCCTTTACGTTTCACTTGTTCCAAGGAGGATTCCTCCAGTTGGGAGGAGTAGAAATGTTCAACTTACAAATCACGTCTGAGGTTCATTTTAAGAATCATTACTGTAACTATCATAATGTCAAAACATTGGAAAGTTGACATTTTAGGCATAATGTATTTAAAGAAAATAAATATTTAAAAGCTAAATACAGCCCACTTGGAGTCCACACGCACAACATTTCTTGTTTCTGTAGTGTTATGTATAAACCATCGTGCCATATAATATCGTATAAACCTAGATTAATAGGAATATTTCAATTATTATGTTGCTAACCAGTTAACGATAGATCGAGCAATCTTACATTCTTTATAAAGAAACAAAAACATTCGGAGGTCATGATTTTTGTCCGTTATCAATAAAGCAGACTACCAGTCATTTTTTGGAATTGACGAAGTACATGTTATGTTACAAACTATTATTCTTATTCGTTTATACTAAATATTATTCATTTTTATTAGTTTGTTAGTTGAAGGCGTAAAACATACGTTGCGGAAGAAAAAGTAATAAAAATATTTTTGCAAACCGTTCACTTGACGCTTTCATTTTTAAATGCTATATGCCCGTGCCAATAATTTTGTGATTCACTGTATTTCGATCAATGAATTATGCTAAGAAATTTTTTAATACGTAATTTTTTCATACCTTCCTTTTGTATTATCTCTTTTTATTTTAACCCAACTTCCATGCTTTTTTCTATTACTCGTACTCTTTTCTTATTCGTATATTTTTTATACTTTATTATCTTGTTTATTATTGTAATTATTTTCATTATCTTTCAGCTCTATGAAATCATTATAATTATGGTTTAGGGTCATATAGTAGCGCATCTAACGTGGACCTTTTATATCACATTTATAATTATTTTCTCGTTGTATAATATAACGAAGACTGTTATTATTTCTAAAATTTATTACACGAACAAAGATTTTCTGCAAAAGTTCACAAAGTCAAGTAAGAATGATCGCTTCGTTATATACTCGCATCAGTTAGGTTGATGTGCAGCGAGGGTGGTGACCGAAAAGCCAACATTATACGCATGTCGAGCAGTAATTAGGTTACACGGCACGTAACCGTGAGCTTCGTGACACACGTTTGTCCTGTTGAAACTCACAATTACGTTAACATTTTTA